CCCCAAAACCCCAAAACCCCAAAACCCCATATTGCAAAAATAATGAAATCAAAAAAAAAAGGAATAATCTTTACAAATTATTCGATTAAAAAATGTAAAAATTGACAATACACTGCGATTTCAAACTATTTTTGTCCTTCTTTTAAACTAGTCTTTTTTGTTTCTAATTGCTTCATAGTTCATCTTTTAATATACAGTGTCAGTATTTCTAATTTCGTTCTCTTACCAAACCAAAGCATTATTATCAATCGTGCTTTGGTACTTTTCAAGTTATGAGAAATCTATCTCCTCATTATTTAAGTCATAATTTGAGAATCCTCGAGATAAAATTATTGATTTCCTTTTTTATAATACTTCCATTTCTTTTACTTGCTTATTGTGATTAATATACTTATTGATATCTAACAGAATTTCCTCTTGGCTATCGATCATTTACTTTAAATCATTAAATAATGACTAATTTATTTCTTTATTATGCAGATTACTAAGACTAATTGTTTTACTGTATAACTCTTGTGTCTTAGTTTTAGTCTGAAAGTAATATTGTTCATTTTTTAATTTATCTTAAGAAAATTTTCTTTAATGAAACTTTGAACCTTTAATGGTTTTATCTAATTCAGTTATATGTGCACCGCCTACAGTAAATCCTTAATGTTGATATGGATTCGAAGAATCGAAATGATTTCTTGATCTTATTGCAATTTTATCAGCAGTTTTAGATGTTTTATCGTCTGTATTAATATTTTGCAACCCAGCTCTGCTGCTTAATTATTTTTAGTATTCAACTAGTTCTTAATCAACTATTTTTTCGTCTTCAATCTTTTTTTCAATGAAATTGCTAAACGGGAATAAATCATGCTTTTTAATTCTAAACTTATCTTGAAAATTCCTAATCATCGGTCTAAGCTGAGGTCTTGCAATATATATACCACTATCAATTAAGTCTTTTTCTGATCTAACCTTAATTGGACTAAGACTCCTATTTGGATTTTGAGTTTCAATCCCATTTATTACCTACTTTCATATAGTTGAGCCTATCATATTGGCAATAGATGATCTATTATTAATTGGCAGATGCTATGTATCTACTTCTATCCTATCCTAATCTATTTTCTTGCTAGGACTTTGAAGATATTTCTCCGTAAAAATTGTGTTTGAGTTGAATTCATCCAGAATACCATGTTTTTAAAAAAATGTCAATTCATCAACCTTATTTTTAAACAATCTTTTAAGTTAGGGCAGAGAGTATTTTTATACCTCATCACTTAATTTAGATCAAGAAACTTCTCCATCATTTAAATATTTAGTTAGATATTTCGCGAGGAGCTAAGATACTTTCTTTTGATTTTTATTCTCCTATAGAATACCTGATTATCTCATTTCTTTTTTTCTCTCGCCTAGGATAATTTTATCTTTGGTTGAGAAGCTAGTTCTGATTAGATTTGCTCTGATCTTTTGTTCAAGAAATTTTCTTTATAGATGTTTAAGACCTTTCAAATTATTCTATTAAGAAAAGTCTTCTGAAAATTATTGCTAATTGTCTAACAAGGTAATCAACTTGCCACTCTAGAACGTATCTCGAAATTCCTCGGTTCTTACTGTACTTTTCTTTTCTATGTATGGTTCAGAGAAAGTGATATTCCTTTTATGTTTTTAAAGGGGCAATATACTATCTTAGATTGTGGAAATTTATTTTGGAATGAACTAGGTTTGATTCATATTGCTATTTTTTCTTTGTTTTTGTTATTATTTTCTTTCAATCTAGGACTTAACACGCTTCATCATTTCCTCATGATTAGGAAAAGCTCGGATTTTAGAATCATATCTCTGCTCATTTTTATGTTTTATCTTTTGTAATTCCTAGTAAAATTCATTCTCATTATCTAGAACATTAATGTCATCTTCACTTATTTAAGCTATATTAAACAACACTCTTGAAGGTAAATCAAGCACATCCTCTTCCTTTGGAACTTTACAAAAGTACGGATTTTGAAGCATGATTTTCTTATTCTTAAACAAATTCTTAATGATGCTCCTTGCTCTTTCTCGATCATTGTCGTGGATATCATTTAATTATCGGTGCATTTTTAAGAAATCCGATGGCTATTGTTACAATCTCATTTAATAAAATTTTAATAAAATAATAACATGGTTAAGTTCAATAATTAGATTATAATTACCCTTATATTAAGGGAAAATTCTACATACGGGGTTTTGGGGTTTTGGGGTTTTGGGGTTTTGGGG